AATCTATCTTCTATCTTTTCATAATCTAACTATCTTCTATCTATCTATCTATCTATTATCTATCTATCTATCTATCTATCTATCTATTATCTTCTTTCTATCTATCACTCTTTCATTTCATAAAACATCTATCTATCTATCAATTTGTTCTATCTATCTATCTATCTATCTATCTATCTATCTATCTATCTATCTATCTATCTATCTATCCTATCTATCTATCTATCTATCTATCTATCTTCTATCTATCTATCTATCTATCTATTTATCTATTCTATCTATCTATCTATCTATCTATCTATCTATCTATCTCTCTTCTATTTTCTATCTATCTATCTATCTATCTATCTATCTATCTATCTATCTATATCTAAAAATTTTCTCTCATTTATCTATCTATCTATCTATCTATCTATCTATCTATCTATCTATTTATCTATCTCTATCTATCTTTTATCTATCTATCTATCATTTCTATATATATCTATCTATCTATCTATCTATCTATCTATCTATCTATCTATCTATCTATCTATCTATCTCTATCTATCTATCTATCTTCTATCTATCTATCTATCTATCTATCTTTTCTATCTATCTATCTATCTATCTATCTATCTATCTATCTCTATCTATCTTCAGTCTATCTTTCTTTTTATCTATCTATCTATCTATCTATCTATCTATCTATCTATCTATCTATCTATCTATCTATCTATCTATCTATCTATCTATCTATCTATCTTTTCTATCTATCTATCTATCTATCTATCTATCTATCTATCTATTTATCTTTATCTCTTTCTATCTATCTATTGTCTTCTATCTATTATCTATCTATCTATCTATCTTCTATCTAAATTTTTCCTTCTTTCTATCTATTCTATCTTATCTATCTATCTATCTATCTATCTATCTTTCTATCTATCTATTTATCTATCTATCTATATCTTATTTTATCTATCTATCTTCTATCTATCTATCTATCTATCTATCTATCTATCTATCTTTTCATTTATTATCTATCTATCTATCTATCTATCTATCTATCTATCTATCTATCTATCTATCTATCTATCTATCAAATCTATCTATCTATCTATTATCTATCTATCTATCTATCTATCTATCTATCTATATATTCTATCTATCTATCTATCTATCTATCTTTTCTTTCTATCTATCTATCTATCTATTATCTATCTATCTATCTATCTTCTATCTCTATTTCTATCTATCTATCTTTCTATCTATTTTCTATCTATTTTCTATCTATCTATCTATCTATAACTATTCTATCATCATCTATCTATCTATCTTTCTATCTATCTATCTTTCTTTTATCTATCTATCTATCTATCTTCTATCTATCTATCTTTTTTCTATCTATCTATCTATCTATCTATCTATTTATATCTTTTATCTATCTTTTTCTTCTTTTTTTTCTTTATCTTCTTTATCTATTTTTCTTATCTATTTATCTGTTCTTTTTTCTTTCATTGTTTCAGTTTTTCTATCCATCTAAAAATCTATCTATCTATCTATCTATCTATCTATCTATCTATCTTTCTATCTTTCTTTCTTTTTTCATTTATCTTTATCTTCTAAATCTATTATCTATCTATCTATCTTTTCTAATTTTCTATCTATTTTATCTATCTATCTATCTATCTATCTATCTATCTATCTATCTATCTATCTATCTATCTATATATATCTATTTTATCTATCTATCTATCTATCCCTCCTTTTATCTATCTATCTATCTATCTATCATCTATCTATCTATCTATCTTTTCAGTGCAATCTATCTATTGGAATATTTATCTTTTATCTTTCTATCTATCTATCTGGAATCTATCTATCATCTATCTATCTATATCCTCATCTTTTTTATAAGTTTATATCTTCTATCTATCTATCTATCTATCTATCTATGTCTATCTAATAATTTCTTCTTTCTTTCTATCTATCTATCTTCTATCAATCTATCTATCTAATATCTATCTATCTCTATCTATCTATCTATTTATTTACAATTATCTCCAATTTTCTATCTATCTATCTATCTATCTAAAAATTCCATCTATTTATATATATCCTATTTATCTATCTATTTTATATCTATCTATCTATCTATTTGTATCTAAACTATTCAATCTATCTTGATCAGTCATCTATCTTCTATTTATCTATATATCTATCTATCTATCCTATCTATACAATATAAACATATATCATATACTGTGAGCACAATATATCTGTTTATATATTGATTGTAATGTAAATTGATCCACAAGTTCATATCCATATTAAAATTTGTTTATAAATTCTGATTAAATGCAAATAAACCTAATGTTCCCCTGCTATGGGTTAATTTATGAGACATATATCAATAAATCATTTTTATCCCAAAATTCTTACAATCTAAAAATGACGTCTATCTAAATAACCAAGAAAGGTTGATAATCCGTAGAAAACGAATCAGTCAATCAATGAGATGTCTTTTAAAGTTATTTAAATCCCTCTTAATATAAATGTATAAAACTACCATAGTCATAAAGTAAAATTATTTTATATATTTATTGTAATGTTGAAGTGATCCCCAATTTATATCCACATTAAAATTTTTTCATCGAATTCTGATTTAAATGAATCCATCTTCTACCCCCCAAATATGGGTTAATTTATATTTTTTTGAATATAAATGACCTAGCAACTATATAAACATTAACAGTTTTTTCCCAAAATTTTGCACAAATAAATATAACGAAACCATCAGGAATAAAACTCTGTCTCTCCGATTAACAATTCGAATACGTTATCCATTACCACCCACCTTTTGAAACTTATTTTTCAGTATTTTCTTTAAATCATTTTACGTAAATCCAAATATAAAATTAATAATAAATAAATATATGTTTTTCTCATATAAAAAGCCTCTACTCTGAGCTACACGACACCGCATCCTTATTTTTTCATCCATCAGCGACATTTGAGGGAAAAATGAAATCAGTAACCAGGAAGAATGAATAGGTGAATCACCGGGGTTCTGTCGATTTACTGATTATTGATGCAGAAATGCTATCTGGAAATGCTTTGAGATACATATGATTAAGTTATGTAAATTTTATAATACCCAAAATAGCAGAAGATTATCTATAAGACACACGGATAATAATTTGATGACAATGATCATGACGATGATGATGAAAAAATCTGCCTTAACGTTTTACTGTTTAAAATTTCCTCAAAAATTTATATAAAATTATTTAATTCTTTACTCAGTAAAAAAAATGTCATTCGCAGTAACTTGGACACACACACACACCCATATATATATATATATATATATATATATATATATATATATATATATATATATATATATATATATATATATATATTTTCTTTTACATTAAAAAATCTTGAAATACTAAAAAAGACAAATTTATGAAATGAAATCGATATTTTTTTCAACCACGGCCTCTAACTTTTTCAGAATCTCCTGATTTTTTTTTTGTTGGACAGTCTCCTTGTTTAATTTGGTGGATGCTGCCATAATTCTTACATTCAGTTCACCTTTGGTGTTAAAAAAAAAAAAACTTTTTCTCTTTCTCCAGATATGTCTGGAACGTTGATTATTCTCCTGATTGTGGTGTATGGTATAAAATCATGTTGCAAACAAAAAACAATTTCCCATAATCATTCTTGACCGAACATAGCATTACCTCCTGAAGGCATTTAATTTGGGTTGCGTGTTGAGTCTGGGGCACTCTCGCACACATTCAGTAGTTCTATTCTTATCACAATGATCATAATGGGGCCATACCTTCGCAATCATCATTAAACTCATTCAACTATTTCTGGGAAATCGTTGCGCTGACGCCATGGTCTCAAACACCCAAATCAAATTTTCGTATCAAGCTTCCGGCGTGTAAAAAAACAGTACATCATACCATTTAAATTTCGTTTCTCACAATGACGGTGTCAATCAGGAAAATACTGTGCAGTCAGCAGAATCAAAAGAAATAACACATAATACCAGGAAATTAGAGGCATAATATGGCGCTAATTAACCCATCGCATTTTATCTATCTATCTATCTATCTATCTATCTATCATATATATATATATATATATATATATATATATTGTATGTGTGTGTGTGCGTGTGTGTAAAAAAAAGTGTCTATAATATAGTGATGATCAGGAAATGCTGATAAAATACTAATAAGATTGAAATTGACACATTACTTTGTAAAATGTCCTCAATATTTATTTATATAATTTAATTGTTTTCTCAATAAAAATATTTAATTTTCCATACATAGTTGTTTTGGTCACACACACACATATATATATAAATATAGTATATATATATATATATATATATATATATATATATATATGCGTGTGAACAGTTTGTGTCTGATTTTAAAAACGTGTTCACACATAGTTTTACGGACGAAGATTATATATTTAATTTTACTGAGATAGAAAATTTCATCAGCGCCAAACAAATGACATTTTGTTTTGTATTGTCTCCGCCACATTCACACTTGATTTAGGAATTTTACTGTTTTAATATCACCTTCGTCTATTGATTTATTAACTGTCCGTTTTGCACAAGACACAACTCTAAACAGTGTGTGTGACAAATAACAAAAAGGTGACTTTAACAGGTTAATACTTATTTAGATTTGCCTTTCTGATTGTGTGACTGTTTATCTTCCAGTTCGTCACTCATAAATTATTCTTGTGCATATCTCTATATACCTAGTAATTTCCTGATTTTCTCTCTCTCCATATATATATATATATATATATATATATATATATATATATATATATATATATATATATACATATACCTATATAAATTCAAAAAATTGTGAGGCCATCCATCTTTAAGAAAAGCAGTCAAAGCTAGCCAAATATGTTGAATTAATAGATGAATATTCCATTACTAAAACTGCCTTTTAATACGTTACGATACG